TAAGAACCTGATTGGTTTGAAGTTACAATAACTTACACAGAATTTCTCATACTTCCGTCAGTAAGAATCTGCCCTGTTTGGAGTTAAGAGAATTGACACAAAACCATCGTCCTGTCCTCATTAAGAATATGACGATTTGAAGTTACAACAACTGACACAAAATTCCTGTTTTTTTTTCTTCTGTCGATAAGACCCTGGTCGGCTTGGAGTTACAAGAGTTGACGCAAACCTCTCGTCCTTAAATAAGTAAGAACCTGACGGTTTCAAACACCCACTGAGAGTGAAGTTTTAAGGACGATCAGAAAAGCTGAGTAAATCATGTGAAAGAGCGCCCGACAGAGTTCAATATGTCATAACACACTTCACTTACACAATCTAGTTCACACACACGTTACAGTTGCTGTCCATGCAACTGATGACATAAATAACGCCTAGACCACTATTATGTCTAGTGTATCCCAGGCGGCTTGATAAGCGCTGGCATTGGCCTCGTCGGCACTAGATATGGCAGATATTGTGTAGTTGACATGGTATTACATATTCTTCTTTGCTTTCATTCATAAGTTCTTATAATAAGAAAAACTTACCTTGGGGTAACTTTTATAAATACACTCAAACCAAGTGATAGAAATCCCCTTACACGATTTTTTTTTATTTTTTACGCACATTGAACTTTAGGTAATATTTTCAGGGTGTGTCCTAATTCTTTGACTTTAAGTTCATTCATTACAATACGAACTTCATTGTATCATCTGTATCCTGTCATAAGTAATACTACATATTTTTTTAATTAGTTGTATGTCTCGTAGTTAATTGTGTTATTTTTTAAACAGTAACATTCAATAATTACCTAACTGTGTGTCCTGTCTATTTATACTTTATATTTTTTCATATAAATAACGATATCTAATAATGTCTTGATTATATTCCAGTGCAAAATTTACATAGCCAAATAGAAAGATCTTTGTAGTTGCCACCGAGCTCTATTGTTTGGTGTGTTTGTTTTTCATCCCACAGCTATACTAACATTTTTTTTATTTCATACATATTTCATAGAGGCCACTTTCTTACAAATTCCACGCGGAAAGTGGGAGTTCAACTGTTACTTAAAATATATTTAAAAAAACATTAATTTAAATATTTATTTTTTTAGAAATTAATTTGCATTTACGATAATGAGATGATCATTAAACGTCAGTTTACTCAATAAACTTCTGGTCGGTTGAATAAGTGTTTGCAAACTAATCAAACTTTATTGCTTTATCCTACTTCAATGTTATGTATACTTATAGTGATATGTACTCAGGAGATATCATCAACCTGTATGATAAACAAGCTTTCCTTAAGTTGATGTGTATTAATAATATATCATCACTATGTAATAGACAAACGTGTTTATAGTGATATACATTCAGGAGATGTCTCCATTGTGTGATTAACAAACATACTTATAGTGATGTGTGTGTTCAGGAGATTTCACCACTGTGTGACAAACAAACATGCTTATAGTGATGTGTGTGTGGTAGTCTAACTCACTATTACATTTGATGTAATCGGACGATTTACTAATATTGTAGGAAAGGTCTTGATTTTCAGGGTAGAAGTTCTATATAAATAAGTGCTCTACTTTGA